TTAGAAATACAATCCCACACCGATCAAACCATTTCTGGTGCCAGGTTCCCAGGCAGTAATTATAAAGACTCGCACCAACAGGATGTGTGGTCCTTCTAATGGCTACTGTTTTTATGGTCCTAGGAAATAGCAATGGGAGCTTAGACAACTCTGCCCCTTCAAAAGAGGGAGGGAGAAGACTGGTCTATGAAGAACAGTGCGATGCTTTTGGAAGGAGATGATAGCAGTGACGGGGATGGGGATGGGAGAAAGGCCATTGGGGCTTCAAATTCTTTGTGACAATGTGTCTCTACTATGGAAAAGAGAATTTTTTTTAACATGATTAAAATGGCAGAGTTGAAGATTAAAAACCACCCAAATAAACAAAATGGCAAAGTGAATCTGAAAAGGATGGCTAAGAAACTTCAAAAAAAAAAAAGACCTTTGCTAAAATGGAATAATAATGTTCAATTGAGATGTTCCCATCAAGGGAGCTGTGTACAGATTTCTCAAACTGGATTTATTCATCAATTTAGATTTTTCAGTCAATTGATCAGTTAATTAAGCACCTGCTCTAATTCAAGTATGATTCTAAGTACTGAAGATAAAAGAAAAAAAAAGAAAAGAATGAAACTGTCCCTGCCTTCAGTAACCTGACATTGTAGAGGGAGAAGCAAAATGTTCAAATAAAAGCTCCTAACAGAATATGTACAACATGAATACAAGTTTGGGGAGTGAGAGTGCTAAGAGCAGTGGGATCAGGAAAGATTTTGTGTAAAGGATTCCAAGGGGAGTAGAGATTAGGAGCTACTGCATTACAGACATAGAAGATAGCTGATTCAAAGGTATGAGTATGGAAGATGGAGTGTCTTTGGTGGGGCAGGGGTGGGGAGGGAACAATAAGAAGGGCCAGTATGGTGCATGAAGAGGAAGGCTGTGTAAGAATTCTGGAAAAATAAGGAAGACAAAGTTGTGAAGATCTTTAAATGCCATACAGAGAGTTTTATATTTGATGATGGAGATAACAGTACATTCCTGGAGTTTACTAAGTAGGCCCATGACATGATCAGACTTGTACTTTAGGGAAATTATGTTGGCAGTTATCTGAAGGATGGATGAGAGTGAGGAGAGGCTAGAGTCAGGGAGACTAGGTAGGCAGTTATTGCAATATTTCAAGCTCCAAGTAATAAAGGACTGAACAAAAGTGGTAGTTTTATTAGAGTAGTGGATATGTGGGGCAAAATGAAAGCAAGAGATAAATATTAACACCAAAGCAGCAATCCTGAGTAACTAGAAGGATAATGTTGCCTTAGACAGTAATGGGGAAGTTTGGAAGAGGGTTAGGTTCGAGATGGGTGGGTGGGTGAGAAGAAAGATGAGTTCAGTTTTTTACATATTGAGTTTGAGATGTTCAAAGGAATTTGGCAATATCAGACTTAGGGATGAAGATAGACAGACAGACAGACAGACAGATAGATAGATTAAATGATGTATGCATAAATAGATGTGGGAGACATTTACATTAGGAATGATAATTGGACCCATCAGAGCTGAATAGATCACCAAGCAAGACAGTGTGGAGGAAAATAGCACAGGACAGAGTTTTGGGGTACATCCATATATTATTGTGGCATGTCACAAAAACAAAGAGAGAAGAGATTATTTAGGAGGAGAGGATGGTTGATAAATCTATTTTTTGGCTTTGTGATGTATGTATGGTTTGGAGGATGGGTAACTGACTTGGAAATCCTGAAAGAGGAGAGGTCTAAAGTATTGATAAGGATGTGAAGTTTGTTCTTTTTTATGTATTTTTTAAGTTAACATCTTGGAACCTATTTTCTATTTAAAAAAAGGCTCTTCTAGGGTAAGTATGTTATAGAAAAGTAGAGATAAAAACAGAATAGGAAAGAATGAGTATTTGAGTCTATTAAAAACTGTTATGCATATAATGCCAGACTTGGTTTATATAAGTTTGGCTGAATTTGTTAGTTCTGATGAACTGTTTTTTCATCTCTTTTTGATTTTTTGTTATAAGGGATTATTCTGGGGTGTGTGTGTGTGTGTGTGTGTGTGTGTGTGTGTGTGTGTGTGTGTGAAGGGAGGTATAGTGAGAAATTAAGGTGATATAAAAACAAAAGATAGCATGTGCAATTGTAAAGAATTTCTTTTACTAATGAATTAACAAGTCTAGAACTCCCACACTGCCTTTTCCTTCCTCCCATCCCCAAAAGTGATAATGTCAAATGGTGAAATGGAAAACATTTTTCCCCCTTAGGAACTCTAGTTGTACCTTATGCATGGTTAAATTATTTCTTACAAATGTCAAGGAAACGAACAAGTGTCTTGGAGTCAGGCGAAACCTAGGTTTGAGCCTCAGCTCTGTCAGCAGCTGTGAAATTGTGCATTTGTCAGAGTCTCTTTCAGCTCTGGTTTCTCCAGAGTATCTGCCTTACCGAATTCTTGTGAGGAACCAATGGGATCATTTGTGTGAAGCACTTTATAAAGCATGATGGAAGTGTCAGCTCTCAGTATTACTTCTGCTGTTGCTAGCACCAGCACCACCAATATGACAGATGGAGGATGTTACCAGAAGTTGTACCAATGCTCCCACTTTGTACTTCTATGGTATCTTTCTTTCTAGATAATCAGAGCACTTTGTGTAGGGCATTACAGCTACCCTACAGTTTGTCTTTCCTTTCCGAAGATGGATCAATGACATCAAAGGGTCATGCCTTGACTCATGTGTATGAATTGGATTGAAGTAAGGCAGAGTTGCACACAGTCTTTCAGTCATAAAAGTCCAGTGGCAAGACAAAAATCAAGACAATTGGTGATACCATATAGTGAAGTGGTCCTGGAGTCAGAAAATCCTAGTTTGGGTTCATTGTCTTCCATCTAATTACGTATGTTGGACAAGTAGCTCAACTGAGCCTCATTTTTCTCAACTTTAAAATGGTAATAATGAAATGAACAATTCACATTTGATTGGAGGGCAGAGCTTCTCCCCAAACTTGCATTTTAAGGAGGGTGCTGAGACCAGCCGTCTCCTCATTTCCTGCCCAACTGCGCTGGGTACACGACACTGGGTACTCCCCTCCTTTCTTTTCAGCTTCCTTTTGTGTTTTGTCTTTTCCCATTAATTTGTAATCTCCTTGAGTGTAAGCATTGTTTTTAATTTTTACATTTGTATACCCAGTGCTTGGCACAGTTCCTAACACACAGTAAGTGCTTAATAAATGTTTATTGACTGACAACATTTCCTTCTAATTACCCATGTGATTACTTTTAGCCTCTTGGTACCTCAGTGATCTCATCTGCAAAATAAGGGGGTTGGATTAAGCCTAAGGACCCTTTCAGTTCTAAATATATGATCCTAAGTGACTTGTTCAGGGAACATAATTAGGTAAATATCACAGTGAGACTTGAACCCAGGTCTTCTGACTCTAAAAAACCCAGCTCCTTCTCTTCTACATTATGCTGCCTCTTATTATTGCTTCTTTTGCTTGTTTTGAAAATCAAATGCTTAAACTGTTTTAGAAATGCAATCCATTATCGTTACTTATTTCATTATTCATCAGGTCTCTCTAAGTACAAGTCTCTCATCAGAACTAATAAATTCAGCCAAACGAATATAAACTGAGTCTGTGTGTGTGTGTGTGTGTGTGTGTGTGTGTATGTATGTATATATGTATGTGTGTGTGTGTATAGATATATATATATCTATACACACATACATATATACATATATATAGTCTGTTGTGTGTGTATGTGCATGTATGTGTGTGTGGGGTGTGTGTATATATATATGTATATATATATACATATATATATGTATATATATATATACACATACATATATTTGTGTGTGCATGCGTGTGACATCTGATTTCTGTTTTTTCTTTAAAAGTCTGCAATGAAAAACCTGGGACTAGAACCCATACTTTCCAATTCCAAGACAATTGTTCTATATGTTTGACTACAGTGGGCTCAAGCTTTATTTTAGAATATGATGGATTGAATAAAGATGATTTACCACAGATGAGGTGGAGATTTGCAATTAAAATTTTATTGAGAAGGTCCACCCCTTCCCCTCCCCCCAAGTTCTTCCAGCCTTTGATTAAGGTCTAACATCAGTTCCAGGTGCATGGCATGAGTCTTGGGTCACACTTAAAGGCTGATTGTTTGTTAAAAGGGGAACACAGAAAAGTGATTGAATGGAACGTGTGCGAGCTGCAAATAAAACTCATGCAGTGGTATGAGATGAATGCCTGCTACCCTTTGTGTATAATGTAGGATTAAATTCATTAAAGTTAATGGTGTGAATGATCTTACTCTATAACCAGTGATGGAAATGACGTTATACGCCTCTCAGGGGAGTACTGAAACCACCAAAAAATATGGGAAAAATTATTTTGGATCAGTAATGGGTAAGACTGTGGAACCAGATTTCTTACTCTACACAGGACGCAGAAGGCTAAGTGCATTGTGTGTATGTACACAGACACACACAGACACACAAGTATTAGTGGTGCCATGTGTGAGCCTTCTGATTCTTTAGAGGACACAGGGTGTTGTTACTCAGCGTATGCACCCAAGTTCAGGAACAGCATGAAGAATCACTGCTTCCCCAGCAAGGTTTCTATTGTCTCATTAAATCACAATCAGGGGTGTTCCATGGAGTAATTAGGAATACACTGTAGAGTGCAAACTCATAAGACATTTTTTATGAGAGGGAAAAAATCTTAAACATTCACTGTGGGAAAATCTCAGGAGGCTTTTGAAAAACCAAATATTTTATCCCATGAGTCTTTTCTTTGGCAAGATCCACACTAACAGTTTTCCCACCTTATTTAAAAGTTGCCTAGAATTCTTGTTGGTTTTGTCTTCAGCACCTATCTTCTAGCAAATGATTGTGGGAAAAAAGATGGGAAAGTAGACTAATGAATTCCAAAGAGATAACTTAGGTGGTTTTCTCTCTTCTTTTTCTTCCTGAAAACAATCAAACAAAATTATTCTATAAGGAATCAACTCCCAACTGCAATTTGAAATCATGCCAACTGCCATATCTGGGCTTTTCAAGATCAATTCCAGCACTGGAGAGGTGGTAACAGCAGCTACACTTGATAGAGAGACTCAGGAGATCTTCACCCTTAGAGGTAACATGTCCAAATGCCTGGAATATGCAGTTAGGTGGGGGTGTTTAATTCAGCAGTTTTGTTATTTGCCTCCTCCTCCCACCTTATTATGGGTGTCACCTTCTTCTTCTCAAGATGGTTGTTGAATGATTCAGTATACCTGCCATCCCCTTTGGTTCACCATTGGATGTTATACCAAGGACAGTCAAGTTTAGGCAGTTTCATCAATAAATTCTGACAAGGGCTGCCTGGCCTCTCATTTATCTTTTCCCTAATTATTTGTCAAGAGCACAGGGTAGGTGTCGGTTAAAACCCACAGCTCACTAATGTGAAACTTCCCTTTCTCTATCTCCTGCCAGTACTGGTGAAAGACCAGGGAGTCCCTCCATTATCCAGCACTGTAACTATTCTCTGCAGTGTGAAGGATGAAAATGATCATGCTCCCAGGTTTATTATCCCCAACCCTGAAATCCAGGTTCCAGAGAACCAAGAGCCAGAGGTCATCTATACTGTCTTAGCTACGGACATGGATATTGGCAACAATGGAGCTGTGCGGTATCATATAATTGGTAAGTGGTGGACTTCTGCAGAATATCGCCCAAGACAGACCCTGTGCCAATGACTTTTAATGATTCCTTATGGAGGCTGTAAGATAATGTCCAAATGAAGTTGTCACAAAATGGTCACCATCACATTCCAGTTTTACCTCTTTTGGCTTTAGCATTTTTCTCTCTTCCTACCTTGAAATTGGTCTCCTACTTTTCCAGGACATTCAGTTAAACTGCCTTTAAAAAATACTGATGGGCTACTTATTTTTCCAGTTTTTTTTCCCGTATGTTCTGTTGTTTTATTATTTGAGTGGCTAAGGCTTCCTTGGTTCATGTCTTCCTCAAGAAGAAACTCAGAGTTATGGATTTGTATAAATGGTAAACAATGTGCTACCCGGGTTTTCCGCACAAACTTGCACAACCATTACCCACATGTATAGTCTTAAGGAACCGTTACTTGTAAAATAATTTTGGCCTTTGGGAAGGAAGAGAATAACACTTACATGGGACCTACAGATATTGTGCTAAGCACTTTTTATAATTATCCCATTTGATTGAGAAAACAGAAGTACAGAGTAGTTGTGACTTACCCAGGGTTACGCTTAATAGCTACTAAGTGTCTGAGGCCAGAATTGAATTCAGGTCTTTTTTTTTTTTTTTTGGCTAGGCAATGGGATTAAGTGACTTGCCTGAGGTCACACAGCTAATTCAGATCTTGTTGACTCCAAGTCTAGTGCTCTATTCATTGTGCCATCTTTGGGACTGAAATAAGAGCCTCTGATTGAATTAATGTGGAGTTAGCAATAGGTAACATTTGTAAATTTCTGAATGCTGTTTCTTTTCATTGTATTTCTCACTCTCAATTATCCAGCAAAACATGTGGAGTAAAGAGTTGATACTTAGCATCTAGAAAATACTGTTTGTAGTAGACAGAGACTCCCCACCCCCCCTTTTGGGTGGGACAAAAAAAGTCTTACAATGGCATTATAATGACATAATCTAAAGTTGATATTTGATAACCTGCTTTCTAGAAATTCTGTGACCAAGCCAAGTTACCGTAATAAAAACCACCCACTTTCTTTAAAAGTTTTTTTCAATGTTCAACTAATAAATATTCATAGACATGTAGATTTTCCATCACTGTTAGAGATCTCAGGGACCTTAAGATAATATGGTCTAGGCACCTTATTTTCCAGCTGAAACAGTTGAGATCCAGAGAAGCTCATATAGCTAGTTGGGGGTAGAGCTGGGAGTTCTACCCTCTTACATTTGAATAACCCTCTTTTTTGTTCTTTTTTTTTTAATTACAGCTTTTGCTGATAGTTCCTTAATTATCTTCTTTATTATTATGCTCCACAGTTACCTTAGTAACATGCCAAGGCAATCTAATCTCCATAGCTTCAATGGGATTATTGATATTTGTTATGCCCTTGGTGAAGTAGAATGATTGGTGAATTTGGAATTTCGAAAGGGCCTGGGTTCAAATTCTAGCTCATCCACTTACTAGCTGGTATGACTCCGGGCAAGTCAATTAACATCCTGTGATGTCAATTAACATCATCTGTGGCATGAAGGGATTGGTTATTTTACTAAGATCTTTTGCTACTCCAATCCTATGACCTCTTTTGTGACATCCCACTTCTTACTTTGGCCAGGAGGTATCTTATATCTCTCAATAATGGATAATAAGGTATAATAATTGGTATAAATAGGGGAGATGATCTTGAAAAATATTTCCCTTCTATCTACCTTATAATTCTTGTCACTCATATTTTGAGAGGTTTTTAAACAACAGATGCAATTGTTTTTTGTCAATCAACAAACATTTATTTAGTAGTTACTATGTGCCAGACACTAAGAGCTGGGGGTGCAGAGAAAAGCAAAATAATCCTTGTTTTTTTCTTTTTTTATAGTATTTTATTATTTCTAATTAAATGTGAAGACTAATTTTAATATTCATTAAAAATTTTTAAGTTCCAAATTTTCTCCTCTCCCTCATCTTCCCCCTCCTTAAGACAGTAAGCAATTTGATATAGATTATATATGTGCAATCTTATAAAATATATTTCCGTTATTAGTCATGTTGTGAAAGAAGAAACACAGCAAAAGAAAAAAAACACACAAAAAAATAAAAAAAGTGAAAATACTATGCTTCCATCTGCATTCAGACTCGATCAGTTCTTTCTCTGGATGTGAATAGCATTTTCCCTCATGAGACCTTTGGAATTGTCTTGGATCATTGTATTGCTGGGAATAGCTAAGTATAATGTTGCTGTTACAGTATTCTCCTGGTTCTGCTCACTTCACTTTGCATCAGTTCATGTAAATTTTTCCAGGTTTTTCTTAAATCCACCTGCTCATCATTTTTTATCAACTTGCCCCTTGACCTAGATTTCTGAAACCTTGAACACTGAGGATGTCCTCTGGATCCTCAGCTATTCCAGAAGTGTAGGTTTAGCCACTGCCTCCTATCTTTGAAGTAAGGTATCTCCTCCCCACGCATTTCCTTAATTCTCCTCTACTCTTACCTGCCACTCCAGCACACTAACTCCAGTACGTCTCTTGAATTTGTGTTCTATGCCTTCTGACTTGATAGTTCTTCCCAGTCTCCACCATTCCAAAATGTGGACAGCAGGCCAGTTAACTACCCACTGATTAATAGGCACGTTTATGGTTTTGAACTTATCTAAAAACATTATGCCTTGGTGTCCTACCTTGGAGAACCAGTGTGGCATGGTTGATGAAAAGCTGGAGACAAGGATGAGTTGGATTCAAATCCTGCCTCCAACACATAGTAGCTATTTGACATTATGCAAAGTTATTTTGAATCTCCCAGGGCCAATGCAACTCTCTAAAACTACATTAATTGCAGATGGATTACTAATGTTCATCAGAGAGGTTTTCCATACAAGGAATTCCCTACACCAGTTAATCACAGGTGCAGATCAAGATAAAAGCTCTATCTTAATTTTTCTCTGACTTGCCCCCATGGTATTAATATAATTAGAAAACAATGAAGGGAAAACAAGGCAACACTATTTACTTCTTTTTTATTAATTTCTTAGCAAGGAGGACAAAGTATCATTTATTGCAATGGTAAAGTTAAATTAAAATTTACTGATTTTAAAACAAAACATTGCCTATGATGTTCATTTGTTAAAATAATGGTTCTATAACTTGGCGGTACATGCCATCCCTGCTCTCCATTGCTCAGATTTTCATTACAAAAGGAAAAAAAATTATACTAAAGCACTAGACTGTGATATTTAAAATTAACTAAATGACATTAAATTAAAATTTAATTAATTTTGTTAATTAATTAAATATTAATAATTGAGAAATAAATAATTAAAATTGAATTAATTTTGTAAGCATTATTATAAGATTATTAATAACTACTTTTAATTTTGATTGGAATACCAGGAAAGCCATTTTTGTTTAGGATATTTGTCATCTGCATTTCTTTCACTTTTATAGGAGGAAATACTGAGCAGCACTTCACCATTAATGAAACTTCAGGAGAGCTCTCAACAACGTGTAGCTTAGACAGGGAGCACATTAGCAATTTCACCCTCGTTATTGAATGTTCTGATCTGGGTAGCCCAGGTAGAAGCTCCATAACAGAGTTAAAAGTGACCATCTGGGATGATAATGACAACAGCCCTATCTTCCCTACATCTCACTACCAAGCCTCTGTGAAAGAAGATCTTGAAGTGGGATCAGTGATCTTAGAGCTCTCTGCAGTGGATAAAGACAGTGGCCTAAATGGGCAGGTTGAGTACTTCCTAACCAATGATGCTCTCAGTATCTTTACCATTGACAGAATGGCAGGCACATTGAAACTTGCCCAAGGCCTTGACCGAGAGTCAAGGTCCCAGTATGTGTTTAGGGTTATGGCCAGTGATCGTAGTGTCCAGAGTCCAAGGAGAACCACAGTTGATGTGACAGTAAATGTAGATGATGTCAATGACAACAGTCCTGTCTTTGGACAGAACCCTTTGGATGTTTTTGTCTCTTCACAAATGTCTGTGAACCAGACCATCGCCACCCTGATCAGCTATGACTCAGACCTGGGGCTCAATGGAGCTGTGGTTTTTCGTTTTGCTGAGACCCAGTCTTTGTTTCATATTGATGAACACTCAGGAGAGGTTCGACTTCAAAAACAACTGTCCTCAGAACACTTCCCTATGTGGCTACAGGTAAAGACTATGGATCAGGGGATCCCCACCAGGACAGCCATTGGTCTTTTGGTCATCCATATGCAGGAAAAAGATGCAAGATTTTCCTTTAGTCAGCAATTCTATACATCAACTATAACTGAAAACTGTGAAACCGGTGAGTATTTTTTATGTGCTCTGCATTTATTGAAAAGCTGCTTAAATGCATTTGTTGCACAAGTCTTCTGGGTTCATTGATAAGTTCTTACTTTCATTTACACTGGGACTTGATCCATAAGTTTATGTCTAGCAAAGCATGAACCAAAATGTCAGTCATTTAAAAAAATTATATATAGAAAAAGAAACCTAGTTTGAAGTAAATTAAATATAGAATATAAATTGTTGAGTTAGCTATAGAAACGGTATGAATCTAGGGCACCTTTAACTTCCAGCTATTTCTTGACTCTCGAAACCTAAAAGAGAGAAATCAGCATATCCCTCAAACCATTGCCACCAGCACTTTTTTTCCTCCACAAGAATGCTGGAAATACATTGCTCTGCTTTAGGACTGCCACGTGGTAGAGTGGATAACGGCCTTCCTCAGAGTCAGAAAAGATGTGGGTTTAAATATATGCTCTGACAGATACTGGCATGTGAGTCATTTAACCTTTTAATCCCCACCCACAAGCTATCTAAGACTTTCAAGTTGCTAGACAGTTGAAGATCATTATTGATAGAAAGGATTCTTCCTTCCCAGGAGTTCCTGCACAAATGAAATAAATATGTGGACCCTAGCCACCCCCCCACCCCAACTCCCACCCCCACCCCACCAGATAGACACAGTGTGAGAACAAGTGACTATCCTAATATTCTTTTTTTTTTTTTTTTGGCTAGGCAATTGGGTTAAGTGACTTGCCCAGAGTCACACAGCTAGTAAGTGTTATGTGGCTGAGGCTGGATTTGAACTCAAGTCCTCCTGAATCCAGGGTCAGTGCTCTATCCACTGTGCCACCTAGCTGCCCCTATCCTAATATTCTTTTAAGTTGAATGTTCTGCAGACTCTTGTGCAGGGGATAAAATAACTGTTTGGTGTTGTTGTTTTTTTCTGGTAACTGAATAAGAGGATTGAGAAAGCAGCTAGGTGGTGCCTGGCCTGCAGTCAGGAAGACTCTTCTTCCTGAGTTCAAATCTGGCCTCAGACACTTACTAGCCATGTGACCCTGAGCAAGTCACTTAACCCTGTTTACCTCAGTTTCTTCATCTGTAAAATGAGCTGAAGAAGGAAATGGCAAACCACTCCAGTATCATTGCCAAGAAAACCTCAAATGGAGTCACAAAGAATCAAACAATGACTGAACAAGAAAATTGGGATGTAAGGTCACCTTTTGTAGACTCACTGGAACCATCTTTCTGACAACTCCAGGGACAGACAGGACAACAGCGATCCTTACATGTATCTTGTCCTGTTCCCACATAGGTTTGATTTCTTCTGCCAGGTTTCTGTACTTTGAAAGATTTTTATTACATGTAGCTTGTGGATTATGAGTATTCAGTATGTGATATCTATTAAGAATATTTTTAAAATTTTTATGAGTCAGTGTCATATCAGGGAAGACATGATGTGTTTCTAATGCTGTTCCATTTTGAAAGCAGTTTATTTGTTGAATTATCGAAGGTATTCCAGAGTTTGAATGTAGTATGGAGATTTGTTGCCAGCTTATAAAGGGTAACTGGTTTCTGGTGTGTAATTCTAGCCAATTTATCATGTCCTAAAAAGTATCCTGTGTAGTCTACATTTTTGCAACCTGAAGGGATATGTTGTACAGTTTCTCAACCACTTTGCTGCATAAATCTACGTTGATCAATATTCCAATCCACCTGCGCTTCTTAAGGATAACCTTTATCTTATTTCTGGTGGCAAGGAGTTGATCCTCCTCCATCCCTCTAAACAAATGTGACATTTTTGGTGCTTTAATACATATTATTTATTGGTTGAGTTTACATAGGTATAGCCTTTTTTGTTCCACTTTTGAATCTTAGCTCATTCATAGTCTGTCTACAGAAGCTGTGGCCATTCCTTCATTGGTACGTAGTCTTTAAGCAAAGACTGGGTGGCTGCTCTTTGGGTATATTGTAGTTGAAGTACTTTTTCAAGTGTAGTTGGGCATTAGATAACTGCTAAAGTCCGTTCTGACTCCAATTCTATGAATAGATAAGTTCTTGCTCTCATTGCTATTAAGTATCTCTGTGATTCACCTATATATAACAAGTTAGAGCCCTAACAGTAGACCTTGACATGAGTGTATTACTGCCATATTTGATTTCAACTGATTTTCTATGATTCAGGAAACATCAAAACCCGTCTGTGTTCTCTCTGCTCTCCCTACTAGCCAGCTTGTTCTAGCAGCACAATTGGATTAATCCATATGGTTAAAAGCAATTTGGTTGCAGATTAAATGTTAAGGTAGAAGACAATTAAGACCAAATTACCTTCTGGCCTTTGGAGATAGTCTCTTCGGTCTGAGATTAAGGCAGGAAAGTTGATGGTTAATTGCAGCAAAAGCTCTCGCTCTTGCTATCTGCTATTGTTGACACTGACCCCTGGTGAGAAATGACCTCCTCAGTCCACTTACTTTTAGAACTACTTAATTCCATTCAATTTGATACTTGTCTTTTTTCCTGAAAGAATAAAACACTCCCCAAGTCCTTTTTATTAAATTTTACACATAAGGAAACTTTGAAATAGTTCTGGAAGTGATACAAGCATATGGCATCCATAAATGTGGATGTAGGTATATATTACAAGGCATATGAAGAAATGGCCTGGAATGTCTCCTTGAAGCATAAATATGACATATGCAAAGGGCATTAAAGTCTAAGTTGAAAAGTGAAAGTCAGCTTTTAGCTGAGGAAAGAGAAAAACGAGAAATGAAGAAGAGTGATAGTTAAGAAGGCTATTGAATTTGATGGGATATAACTAACCTGTATCTGGGTTGACAGTATTTCCTAGAGCCCAATGAAAGAGGGAGTGGTAAGCTTCATAAAATATTGACTGACACTGCAAACCGGTCAAAGCTGTGGTTGGCACATGAAGCCAGAATTAGCTGCCAGATCTTATCATATAATTTTTATCAGACATTTTTTTCCCTTGAAATTTTTTTTAGTTCCAAAAAAGCTGGAGAACTGTTGTTCATTTCTGTATATAGCATTGACCTTTACTATATGCCAGAACTTTTTAGCACTAGCATAATAGATCTCAAAAACATTGCAGTTTTAAAATGTTGGCTGCCATTAAAAAAAGCATTATCCTGACGAGGGGTCTCAGTTTGTTGAGGGTCACTCAAAATTCATGTCATATTTTTGAATCACTTAGGAACAATAATATCCCAGCTGACTTTCTGGATTATCATGATTTCTACATAAATCTTTTCTCTTATTTGAGCTGCTTTTGAATTGTACCTTTAAAAAATCATGAAAAGGTATAAAATGTGCAGATCTTCTAGTTCATATCCATAGTAATCCATCTCTATATCTATATCCATAATCATTGAGAGTAGATATATCACATTTGATCTTAATACATTAGGAATCAATGTGCTATAAGTTAAGAAATATATTCAAGAAGATAAAATTAAGAAGGGCACTAGACCCAACTAAATTCAGTGAAAGGAAATTTGCACTGGAGTGGATTTAATTTTAAAGATTCTCAAAGATCTGTTGTTTTTGGTGGGTGGAGGGCAGGTGGAAGTTGGTCTTGACCTGTGATTTCATGGGTCTTACTGTAAACTCACAGTATGAAAACTTCCTCCACCAAAGCAGAGCTGCCTCTCATTGGCAAGTTGGAGTATTAGAGCCTTCCTGGGGCACTGAAAAGTGGAGATGCTTGGCCAGGCTCATCCCACTACTATATGATGGAGATAGGGCTTGAACTCAAGTCTTCCTGACTTCAAAGCCAGTCTTCTACCTTCTGCACCATTCTGCCTCCCATTTTGTTTGTTACATTTTTGAAATTAGCTTTCAAGCAGGGTAAGTTCTAGAAGAATAAAAAAAAATATTCCATAGATGGTACTGTGACCAAAAAATAGACAAGCAACCAAGAGGACATTGTTACCAAATGTCCCATAAGCTTATTCTGTCAACTTGATAAGATATTAATGAGAATAAGTTATGTATAAACCAATGGCTAGAAAGCAGGCTTTAGAGTCAAGAAGACCTGAGTTTGAATTCTGCCTCAGACACTCTCTAGCTCAGTGTTCCTGGGCAAATCACTTCACTTTGGTTTTCTCATCCATAAAATTGGAATACTTATAGCAAATACCTTACAGAGATATTGTAAGGATGAAATGAGTTAGCATATATAGAGAGCTTTGCAAACCTTAAAGTACTTAATAAGTATCATCATCATTATTATCATCATCATTATTAAAGAGGCAGACTTTCATGAATTACTCTTTACAAGAGACCACATCTTTGTTGCTACATAGTTGACTGAGAGGTTTATACGTGATCCTTCTGGTTTTATTGTATATTGATTATATACCGATCCATTTACAAGCAACAGGAAAAAACACAGCCTTAATAGTTTTTCCTCCAACTATTGATGTCCTATGCGCATGTCAAGATGATAATAATATTAATAATAGCAGTAATGGTATCTTCTTAGTTCTTTAAGGTTTTGAAACACTTTTAAACATACATTATCTTATTTAATACAGCAATCTTTTAATGTAAGAAATAAAATATTATCCCCATTTTACAGATAGAGAAACCAAGGCACTGAGCAAGAGTGGGTGACTTGGCCAAGGATCACGAAGCTTGTAAATGTCTAAATTAGGATTTGCATCAAGGTCATCCTGTCTCCAAGTCTAGTCCCCTTGATGACTTTGCTATGCTGCCTCTTACATTATAAAATATTAATTGCTACCCTAGAGATAACTTTGTTTAATGACTCAGTGAATACCAGTGCCAAGTCAAGCATAAAATAGGAAGATGTGTGCTAGCAACTGTTCTGAAGAATGTTTTCTGCAGAATCCAAATGAGAGCAAGGATTTCTCATAAATGTGAAATTCTACTTAGTGTCAAATTCTCAGCCTGCATTGTATGGACAGCAATGAAACTCAAGGACTGACCATTGCTTATCCTTCGTTCTCACTATATCTCAGGTTCACCTATATTTGT